ATCCTAATCCTGTCACAACCTCTTTTCCTGCCCAGAAAGCCTCCTGCACGATCAGAGACATCATAACGGAAGTCGTCGATGTAAGGAATAGATTTGGCTTTGCGCACAATGGGCACCCGTTTCAACTCGGGATTAAGGACAAACTGCTCCAGGAGCGTTGTTTTTTTCAACCATCCCACTCTGACGACCTTCTTGAACAGCAGTTCCCACAATCCGTCTAGGGCAGTAGCTGGATGGGCGTCAAGGATGAGAATGGTGGTCTCGGCAGCAGTTCTGTTCATTTCCCGGGTATTCAGATATGCGCTGTACAGCTCTATCACGGTCCAGTACATATTTGCATAGTCGATACGAACAATTCCAACAGTCAGTCCCTCTAAACTCTCCATATATTTCAGCTCTGTTTTATTGGACACTGTGATTACGTTTGTCACATCATTCACAGATGCCTGATCAGGACGGTTTTCCAAGTGTCTCATCAGACCAGGCGTTCCTCTGCATAGTGTTCTCAAAACGCCAAGTTCAAAATTGAAAAATTCCGTACTTTCATCTTGATATTTAACTTCAGTGATGTTCTCGCCTCCTCTTCTGGTTCCAAAAGCTCTGGAAGGATCTAAAACCATGTCCTCTAACTTCATACCACCAGATGGCAAATACCCAATGCTCTTTGAACATTCTCGTTCATGCCCATTTCTGTTCAACAACAATCGTTTAGTGCCAAAGAAAACCCGGCTTCCTGCGTTTGTTATTGCTACGAGGAGATAGGATATCGCAATGATATAAATGATGATTTTCAATCGCGACCTTAGTTTTCTTGTACGCCTGAATAACATATTATAATACCTATCAGCTATATTTAAAACAAATAACGCCAAAAACCGATTGCGTACTAAAAAGTACTCTTAACCAGCTTGAAACAGATTAAGATTTAAATTAAATGATAATTTTCTAATGTCTACGATGATAGCGGATTAAACATATACATGATGATGATTAATATCGTATGATTTTTAGTTGAGTGCCTGTGAGTATACTGTCGATATCAACCACTACTCAGCAGAAATAATATTACACGTACGTTGATGTTAATGAGCGACGTGAAACGTGAATGCAACTGCAAGTTTTGTTCACAAATCTAGAACTTCGACGCAGTACAATAGGACGGTCAATGTGCTCCCTCACATGAGATCTGTATCAACATTTGTGATGAGAGTGAAGGTGCAGCAGATTCAGGGCCTTTGTTCTCTGTAACAAATTTCACAAATCTTTTTAGAAAGAAAGGAGGTTATCCTAATTTATTCAAACAATTATTTTGCAGTTATATCAGCATCGGTTTGGTCTATACTGGTGTACTATTTCGCATACTGAGATAACATCAAATGACAAATCCTGGTTATCGGTCCTTCACCTCGAGTTTTATGTTAGTTTTGTACCTGGTTTTACATTCTGCCCAATGTAACTAACTAATCGAACTAAATGTAAATGATACACCTGGAAATTATTCAAGCACCCCTTGTTTTTTTTTAAAACACTATCTGACAACATTGTTTCACTCGCGTTCAGTCTGAAATATGATGGGAAAATAAAAGCTACCTGGAGGCTCTCTTGAGTAACTTGAGTAACGAAAACACAGATGATGATGGCAATGTTCAATATGTAAAGGGGAATGTCCGAATGAACTCTCCATTCCTCAAAAATAATGGAGCCGAGGTCCATATATATATATGGTTTATCAAATTGCTTTTAAAAATGAACATTGTTAAGGTAACATGCAGTTACACATTATGCTACATATTATAAGTGCCGTCTTGAGATGCTGTAGTTTAGAACGACAATTGGACGTCCCCAAACGATGCGTGTTCGAGCATCGCTGGCGACACATATTTACGGACAAAATGTTGAAATCATTCACCTGAATATTTGAAACGTTGGTTCAAGATAATGTATAATTGACAAACAACTGCCTATTCCTGAAGAATAATGGAGCATTTAAACAATAATACGACGTCGCAGGTGTGTGTTAATTTCATTGCGCGAATAGCAGTTTCTACAGTGTTGTATTTGAGTCAAAATGGGAACCATAATAACGATAGATCTGGGAAGTTGTAAGATCGGGTATAAATGACCATTGTTATGCGAAAACGCTCATTGTAATCTCATAAAGACAAATCAAATTCCTTGAACTCAGCAGCGAGTGTAACCGCCACGTGTTATTCACGGGCGGCTGCTTAATTAATTCCTAAATGGATACAAATTTGAAACATGTTTAATTGTTTTGCCTTGCTCAGTGGTTATAAGAATTAAGATACTGAATATTATAGCAGAAATTAAAGCATACGTTGGGTTACTTGGATACAAAATTTACCAATGAAATCCTCCGGAATAACATATTTAAAGATTAACGTTCGGTGTTTTTACAATGAATGTAGACGCCTCTTGCAAAATGAGTTTTAAAATCTATTTGATATATCAACTCACCTTTTTTGTATTTCAACATATACAATGCAGATTTAGTCGTCTGACATAACACCTCTTCATTGCCCCTTTTACCATCATGCGTAAACGTACATGTCTTTCTTTACAGATCAACCAATGTTTAAAACGCGTGGTGTGAGCCACTGTCATGTTAAAAGGCTGATGAATGACTAATTATGCATTTATACATAAGAGGACAACACATACCTGTAAAATGTAAAAACAATAACACAGTGGACAGAATGTCAGAGGTACATTGCTGTGCGACGACTGTTCTCTGTTGCTGTTAAGTCGCTATATAAGTGCAATAATCTTGGACGCGACGTTAAACCCAATTTCATCTCACCTCACCTGTTGCTGTTAAATGCGTCGATACAAGCGCAACCGCGACATATGGTGTCACCTGCAGCTGTACATCAGGGTTGTTCAGTATTTAGTTTCAGCAAAAGATCTATACTACATATACATGCGATATCACTGTGTGATAACTATCTTTATATTGTCTGAGATCTTTTGACCAGGATAGATATTTTTTACAGTGTTACCTCTGATTATATTTCTGTATTTGTAGGATTGTATTACGACGTGTCTTGATGGAAGTATTACAGTTCATATATTACATTATACTTTTTTTATATGTTTCACAAAATAACTTAACCTAGGAAATTTGACCATCATCTAAAACTGTAATTAAAATCAACACTTGTTAGGCATAACTGACATCAAAGTAATTGTTAATGTGATGCGAGTAGAGCTGTGCGGGTATATAACTCCTTGGGTATTGGTCCTCGGCACACTTGCTTGAATGAACTCAAAGGACCTCACAGCTCTCTCCTCTCTTGTTTCAAGCTAAGAAAACATTTAAATATTCCTATTTTATGACTAAACTTCTCATTTCAATGATATTATTATCTGGAAAATGTTAGCGTTGAATCAGTACTGCCGTATTGTAACGCTCAATGTACTACGTTAACGTTCTAAATGACTGCCCATTATATATTATTTATCGTTTAATACACAGGCACTGTTCAGTGATGTTTGAAGTGTAATGCGTCGTGGGCTCCTCCAGTTTATGTGTCATTAATATACGACAACAATAGTTCCCTCCTGTATTTCGACATCCATGATTATATACCCCATCAATGTCCATCATTATCTGTTCAACGTGGCAGTTGCATATACAGTCTATATTTTCGTGCAGTAGCGTAACGAACATGTAGCTTAGTCACAAAACGGTTCCTAGAGTTAACACAACTGTTTCAAGCAAGGTTTATTTTATACGCAAACTCCGTTTTTCAGATATGTGTGTTCTAGTACTTATAGGTCGGGTAGCCTAGTGGTTAAAGCGTTCGCTCTTCACGCCGAAGACCCGGGTTCGAATCCCGACATGGGTACAATGTGTGAAGCCCATTTCTGGTGTCCCCCGCCGTGATATTGCTGGAATATTGCTAAAAGTGGCGTAAAACCAAACTCACTCACTCACTCACTCTAGTACTGATACTATATGATATATGTTTGTGTGTTCGAAGCATGGATAATACGTTGTTTTATAATTGTCACATTTATTTTTGCCAGCATTGTTTCGAATTCTACATTTTCCATCAGTTGCGTGATCTTTTAGCACAGCAGATTTACCATAATATGCATCGTCACTCAGCATTTGACAATAATGTTTTACGGTAAAGCATCGATAGTTATGTACTATGACTATGGAATATATGTATTTTATGAAAACAAAACAAATCTAGATTTATATAAAAGCAGAACTCTGACCCGTAAAGATCCGGGTACGAATTGGTCTGTGCATTCATGTCAAATGTATGATCTTACAATCTCACAAATAACATCGAGTTGATTTAAATATTGTCCAAAAGTCTTAATTAACTATATATCGATTAAGTTATAAGTGATGACCTTTATTTATATTTTAGGGGATAGACTTGTCGGAACTATCAGAAGACACAAACAAATACCCACTGAAACACTTTATAGTTACAATATACATAACTTGTTCAACAAGCTTGTCAGTTAACCAATTCTGTCAGAATAAACTCAACATATTCTGTGCTATATCTGTGTTATGTATAAGAAAAACCAGACAAATATGCAATAATGTACTCACTACACAGGAAAGCAATTTCATTTTCTGCATATGTATCATGTAAAAACAATAAATGAAATCGTATCGTCTGATGCTAGTGTTTAGTTTTGCAATATATCATTACACTTCCATGTGAACAACATACACCTTTGTAGAGTAATGTGTGAGTAATGTCACACTTCCAATCAATGCAGCACGCAGAACACACATGTCGATGTTGACCGACCTATTTATTTCTTTTAATATCCCGTCTGTTGAGATTTATTGTTCTCTAGAACATTTATATTTCGTACAGTTATTTTAATAGGTAGATTATTTTCGAATGTAGCGAATGAGCAAAATATTGACTGGGGTGATGTGCATACCAGTAAACCGGTATAGAAAATAAACTGTACGACACAAAGGGAGCATCACAGCCTTGATTCTTTCAAATATCATATGTAATAGAGTTTTCATAGATTCTCAAGCCCATGTCAAACACCATATCCGTCAAGACTCGTGGGGGTACGTGCACAGAGGTGGCAAACTTGTTGTTACTATACCAACTACTGTATAGTTTACCACCCAAAACAGCCAACTGTTCCATGTGACTATTTCTGTGTTGTTTATACTTGTGAGGGAAGAGTTCAATTAACCCTGTTCCAGGAACCTGGAACAACGTGAGTGCTAACCCTGCACCGTGTACACCGATCAAAATATCCGTTTCCGTGATCAGTTGTATTTGTTCTCTGATGGTCAAAGTCTCCAACGCTACGGCTTGTACAGGAGTTCCAGGAAATGTGTTTTTCAGCGCCTGAATGAGTTCATCAGAATTATTAAACTGTCTCTCTATTAGGCCCCTGACGTTTCGTGGATAGGCTATGTAGTTTTTTCTCAACACAACAGTTATCCTAATCCTGTCACAACCTCTTTTCCTGCCCAGAAAGCCTCCTACACGATCAGAGACATCATAACGGAAGTCGTCGATGTAAGGAATAGATTTGGCTTTGCGCACAATGGGCACCCGTGTCAACTCGGGATTAAGGACAAACTGCTCCAGGAGCGTTGTTTTCTTCAACCATCCCACTCTGACGACCTTCTTGAACAGCAGTTCCCACAATCCGTCTAGGGCAGTAGCTGGATGGGCGTCAAGGATGAGAATGGTGGTCTCGGCAGCAGTTCTGTTCATTTCCCGGGTATTCAGATATGCGCTGTACAGCTCTATCACGGTCCAGTACATATTTGCATAGTCGATACGAACAATTCCAACAGTCAGTCCCTCTAAACTCTCCATATATTTCAGCTCTGTTTTATTGGACACTGTGATTACGTTTGTCACATCATTCACAGATGCATGATGAGGACGGTTTTCCAAGTGTCTCATCAGACCAGGCCTTCCTCTGCATAGTGTTCTCAAAACGCCAAGTTCAAAATTGAAAAACTCCGTACTTTCATTTTGATATTTAACTTCAGTGATGTTCTCGCCTCCTCTTCTGGTTCCAAAAGCTCTGGAAGGATCTAAAACCATGTCCTCTAACTTCATACCACGAGATGGCAAATACCCAATGCTCTTTGAACATTCTCGTTCATGCCCATTTCTGTTCAACAACAATCGTTTAGTGCCAAAGAAAACCCGGCTTCCTGCGTTTGTTATTGCTTCGAGGAGATAGCATATCGCAATGATATAAATGATGATTTCCAACGGCGACCGAAGTCTGGATAGCTGGAATGTTAACATATTTATCAACTGTATTGAACTGAAACGCCACTTACTGATTGTCTACTAAACTCTAGTCTTACCGAGTTTGAAATAGATTGTTCATGACAGATAATACTATTCTGTGTATAGCTATTGTAATTGAAATGAAGATATTGTGAAGGTGATCAGTAACATATTGATGACACTGCCTGTCAGACGTATTGATGTGTTGTATACAAGGGTTTGGTCAGCCTGTTCCTTTCCCGACAGGAGGCACGTGCACGTAACCACGTTTGTGAGAGGAGGTGCCGATTTAACTTGGGAGACTCTCTTTTCTGTAAAAAACATAATCCAATAGTCCTATTAGTTCCTAGTTTATTCAAATAATTAAAATACATTAGATTAGTTATCATATGACATGACGTTGTGGTGATCAATCAGAAAAGCTTATGATGACCCCTTTATCTAGATATTACATTTTCTGCCCAAATGATAGAATACTCTCTATTAATTTAACTCAATGTAAACGATTATGCAATATATCCAAATCTAAAACTTGTTCTTATTTTATGGTTCTTTGCTCAATGGTTAATTGTCCTGGGATTAGATAGGGCAATCCAATATTGTCATCCAATATACAGTATATATCCGGTGCTTTTTTCTTTTACATGGAGTTCCACATTAACTGGCATTTACGTTTTTAATGAAAATTATGTGAGTGGTACAGCAGGACATGTTTAGCCTTGTTGAGGAAAAACCTGTTGTCTTCACTGAATCAGCGATCCTTTGATTCATTTTTTAACTATTTCATCTGTTATTCCCCGAGGAATCTGCTTCAGGAAATATTCGACACTCGTTATTATCTGGCGTTCACTCAAAACTACAGGCTATATAAACAAACTTTCTTTGTATTTAAGCACAGACTTAGTTATCTAAGATAAAGTAAAGGAAAGAGGAGAGATTTGTACATAAATGGAAAACTCTTACCTGTTATCTGTAAATTGTAAAGTGAAAACACTCGAATGGAAAAGGAAATCGTCAGATTTTGGTGAGACAATTGTTCCCTATACAACGGTAGAGAGATATGACTGATACGTTCGCAACCACGAAATATGTTGTCATCTGCAGCTGTGCCCCATGGTTGATAAGATATTCTTTTAGCATTGCACAGATTGTTCTAGCCTTGATGGAGCAAACGAAATATGTGCTGACATACTTATTTTATCATATATATACTATATTTATATATATATATTAATATTGTACGATCTTTAACTTCTTTTTGAAAGACAACTTGCATGGCAGCTTTGGACCTAAGACTGAACAGGAGAAGTAGAATAATGTAAACATGGGGGGAATACATTTGAACCGAACGGGGAGTGATCTGAGCCTTGAGTGAGTATTCTGGCCTCGGTGTCCCCGTGCTTTAACTATAATAGCTCAGGGCAAAACTATACTTTATTACACTACACAGTGGGTGGAGCAAACATTATTTCTTATTTAGACTGTATGCACGCATTTCAGTAAAGAGGCTAGGTGATAGGTGAAGTGAAGATCTTCTGCAATAAGTTCGTTAGTAAATATTGTCATTGTTGTATATGTAGTTTAATGCAATATGTTAAGTATTAATTTCATTTGCGATGTCATGTGGATACAAACACACATGCAGGGATGTAAAGCTGTTTGATATAGTTGCTAAATTGAATAACTATTCTAATTAATCAATTTTCCTCAGTTAATGTCATAGGTTAAATAACGTGAAAGGTGCGACCAGATTGTCATCTCCGACAGATGTTGCATCGTAAATAAGATGAGTTTGATAGTGTTATTCAAGCTGATGCAGGACATTATTACAGCGAGCAAATTGTTCGTTAGCCTTTCCATTTGACGATGTTGTCTAATGTCGCTCTTAGAAAGGCGTCACTGAAGAGTAGATATCTTCAATGCCAATTGTGGCAAATAGCACTATAGCAACAATATTCCTATATTGCTATATGACGGCGATCTGTATATAATCGAGTCTGGACCAGGTAATCCAGTGATTGACATCATGAGCATCGATTCACGCATTTTGGATATGATGGCATGCAATGAAGCAAGTCACCGGGCCTGACCACCCTATCCATTTAGTCGCCTCTTACGACAAGCATGGTTTGCTGGAGACCCCTGAGGGTTAATGCACAACCGTTTTCTGTTCACCCCAATGTTTGGAATTCATTAGAAAGGGGTTGTTTCTATGTTTATTCATTTTATTGCAAGACTCAAACACAACATATGTACAGCTTGTACAAGGACATATTTTGTTCAGTCTGTGTTGTGTCTTCTAAGAGTGTACGTTTAAGCTGTACTTCCATTCTCATCACAAACGTGGATACTTCCTCACGTGGGGAAAGGAACAGGCTGCCTTCAAGGTATATTGTACACATCAGCATATGCGGTCATCAGTAATATTTCTCATTAGTTGCATTTGGGGCCATCTCCACAAGTGCGATCTCCAGACAGCCACAGTATATTGGCAGGCAGATCCATCTACATCGTATGTTACTGATCAGCATCACACTAAATACGTATAATTCGCAATTAACACAAACGTTAGAATACTATTATATATTTTCAATAATGTATTCAAGCTTGGTAATCTGTAAGCAGTCAGTTAAGGGCATTGTTTTAATAACATATAGTTCATAAATATGTTTAGATTTAGGTTGGTTTCACGAACATTATTGTCACTATTCAGAGTTAACAGGGACTGTCTGTTGGAATTGTTCGTATCGACTGTGCGAATATGACCGTGATAGAGCTGTACAGAGCAAATTTGAATTCCCAGGAAATGAACAGAACTGTTTCCGAGATCACCATTCTCATCCTTGACGCCCATCCAGCTACAGCCCTGGACGTACTGTGGGAACTGCTGTTCATGAAAGTCGTCAGAGTAGGATGGTTAAAAAAACACGCTCCTCGAGCTTTTTGGCCTAGTTCCCGAGTTGAAACGTGTGCCTATTGTGCGCCGTGCCAAGTCTGTTCCGTACATTGACGGCTTCCGGTAAGATGGCTCTCATCGGTTTGGAGTACTTCTGGATTTCTAGGTTTCAAATATGTGTTGTGACTTTAACCGTCGGATAAGCTGAATGAAATTGCTGTTATAACCATTCTTAGTCCTCTGCAAATCCACACATTCGAAAACCATGGTTTGATAAAGACTGCAAACAGGCTAGGAAGTGCAGGAAAAAAGCGAAGAAATATTTCCACCGACATCCAACTGTACATAATTTGGATCGTGTTAAAATCACAAATGCCAAGGCACGCCGTATATTCAAACAAAATAAGCGTAAGTCCTGGAGGAATGATGTCTCTAAAATGAATTCTCGCACGCCAATATCCAAAGTGTGGAACATGATTGCAAGAAATAAAGGCGAAGGCTCAAAGTCGACTGTCCACCATCTCAAGGATGGTAACCATCTATTAACAGATAAAGTGGACATTGCTTATAAATTTGGCGAGACGCTGACCAAACACTCTTCATCATCGACTTACGATCCTAAGTTTCAAAATCATCAGAAACAACAGGAAAAGAAGAGGGTTGATTTTACTTCTCAAAATGGAGAAGATTTATAATGAGGTATTTCCGCTCCACGAGCTAAATACTGCCCTTGGTCAAGCGTACGATACTGCAACGGGAGATGATAATGTTCATTATCAGCTCCTAAAGCATTTGCCTAATTCATGTTTAGAGACGCTTTTTGATATATTTGATCAGATCTGGACGTCAGGAAATGTTCCTTCTTCGTGGCGAAATGCAATAGTTGTTCCCATACCTAAACCTGGTAGGGACCATACTGATGCATCCAATTATCGACCAATTTTCAGTAACCAGCTGTGTGTGCAAAATCATGGAGCGAATGGTAAACAATCGACTGGTGTGGTACTTGGAAACTTACAATCTTATAAGTACCATTCAATGTGGTTTCCGTCAAAATAGAAGTACCATTGACCATCTTGTCAAAAATGCAATTGTCAATAATCAGCATGCAGTATCATTCTTTTTTCATTTAGAAAAGGCATATGATACCACATGGAAGTATGGCATTTTAAAAGATTTGGGGTTAAGAGGCCGTTTGCCTCAATTTATATGAACAAATTAACAGACCGACAATTTCAGGTTCGTGTGGGTTCCACCTTGTCTGACCATTATAATCAGGATCAGGGAGTCCAACAAGGCAGTATTTTGTCTGTAACTCTGTTTAGTATAAAGATTGATATGATTCCATTGATGGTTCCTTTTTTGTGGGCGATTTAATATTTCATGTCGTGGAAAAATATGCATACCATCGAGAGACAGTTGCAGCTTTGTCTCAACAAAATCCACAAATGGTGTCTCGAAAATGGTTTTAAGTTTTCCAAAGGAAATACAAGCATCATAAAGATCCAGAGCTATTTTAACATGGCACTCCTATCAAGGTTGTAGAAGAGGCCAAGTTCCTGGGTCTCATTTTCGATCACCATATGCATTTGACTTTGAAGCCACATATTAATTATCTTAAAACTACTAAAGCAGGCAACTAAAGAGGTTTTCACACTTATTGGGGTCAGCGAGGCCGACAAAATCCTGTTCGCTAACGTGCATCGATTACCCTGAACATGTACTGATCCGAATAAGTAAAGACCCGATATGCCAAAACCTATTGTCGTCTAATTTGTTATTGCATCTGATAGGCAAAGGGTGTACACAGCTGCGCTGAAGAGTGGTCAAGTGGTGAGATCAATAAAGGCCAGTATCCGCACAGACCTGCCAGTCATCATTAAAAAGCTGAGGGGAATGATGGCAAATC